CAAGATTTAGGTAATAATCTTCAATTTGAACAGTTACTAGATGGAAAATGGAAACAAAGTTGAACAAGATGATCACATTAATTCTGAGAAAAATTGGGAAGTTTAAAGAATGATGACGTGCCTGAGTAAGATAATATTTACCCAAGAGTTTTGAAAGAGGTTAAGGATTGGATATGTAAGCCATTTGCTATTATTTATTCCACATCCTTGAATAATGAGCAGGTGCCAGAATATTGGAATTTGGTTATTGTTACTCCTCCTTTCAAAGGAGGTGATAAAAATTGTAATAGTAATTATAAGCATATTAATATTGCATCAGTGGTGAGAAAATTTTTTGAAAGTTTGATAAAAGATGTTTTGCAAAGTCATTTAACACAGTTTAAAATTTTGTTGGATAGTCATCATGGTTTTATTAGGGGGAAACCTTGCATTACTAATATTTTGACATTCTTTGAAGAGGTTACTGCTTACATAGATGAAGATATAGGTGTGGATATGGCATATCTGGATTTTCACAAAGCATTTGATAAGGTGCCACATAAAAGGATTGTTAAGAAAGTTATTTCTGTAAGTGTGGTGGATAGGTTGGCTCACTGGATAGAAAACTGGCTAGATGGAAGAAAGCAGAGAGTTGTTATGAATGGAGTTCTGTCAAATTGGATTAATGTCATGATTGGGGTACCTTAGGGCTGGCTCAGTATTAGAACCTTTGCTCTTTTTGAATTACGTCAATGACATGGATGAAAGAATGGGCAATGGATTATTTAATTTTGTTGATGATGTTAAAGTTTTGGGTGTTGCTGGACTTGGATTATTTGATGAGTTAGGTGAATGAATGACAGATAGCTTTTGATTATAATAAATGTAAGGTATTGAATGTGGGATATCACAACTTGAATTATGAGTATAATTTTGATAGGAATAACCATAATATATGGAAGAAAAAGATCTTGGTGTTCTGATTGTTCACTCTCTTAAGCCATCCAAGCAATGTACTGTTGCTAGTAGTAGGGCAAATTGTAAAAGTCTAAAGAGGTTATAATGTCATTGTGTAGACCACATTTGGAGTATTCTGTCCAGTCTTGGGCTTGTTTCTTCAGAATGAACATTGAATTGTTGGAAAGGGTTAAGAGGAGGGATACTAGTATGATACCTTGGATGGAAAGTTTGAGGATAGATTAAGATCTCTGACCTTGTTTTCTCTTGAAAAAAGAAGAGTTAGAAGTGTTCTGATTGAGATGTTTAAGATTGTTAAGGGAATTGATAATGCTGATGCATCATTTTTTTTTCAGACTTAATGGTGTGAATGGTAGGACTAGGGGGCACAGATATAAATTTTGACAGGGTAGGAGTCATTTTCAGCTGAGACAGATTTATTTTTTAACACTGATTGGTCTCTGGAGTGGGTTGCTTTCAGATGTGGTGGATACAGTTGATTTAATGGAGTTTAAGGGGAAACTTGATAAATGTTGAATGATAAGGGCTGGCTTTAATGTATGTTGTTATTATCTCTTATGTTTAATATAGTGAATATGACAGCCCAGATGGACCAAAAGGTCCCTTGCTGTATAGCTAACTGAATGGATAGAAAATGCTGAAATGTTATTCACATTTTAGGATCATGGTGGAATGACAGGAAGGAGACATAGCCAACACAGCAGAGACAAGGGAAAGAAGATATTCACATCATCTTATAGTAAAGATGTAAAACTCCATTCTTCAGAAAATGCATGGAAACCTGCTCGTCAAGCTGAGAAACCAAGCTCTCAAGAAGAACAGAAAACTCAGGTATGCTAAGCAATAACTATGAGCTATTTTTAAGGTAATGTATTAATGAAAATGGCTATTTTATTCACAGTTGTACTTATTGCTTCAGAAGTAAAGATTTTGGTAATTTTTCCTGTTCCACTTTGGTTTTTAAGATAATAGCAATGCATGAAATAAATTTGATTAAGTACAAAAACTTTATTGAAAAGCATGTGTAGTAGTGAAAGTTATGGTAGTTATATTTTAGTTTAGGTGTTGACATTTTTATGTGAATAAATAACCACATTTTCTAAATTGAACATTTGATAAAATATTATAATAAATTCCAGAGAGATGGATTTCTCATATATAAAAAAAAAAAAGAATACTTATCATTAGTTAACCCTATGCTTATAATGTTGATCAAAGTGTAAATGTTATAACATTTTACAGAGTTATATTCAAAGTTTAATGAAACAACTTTATTATCAATGTATGTAAGCATTGTTTATAATTGAAATTTTAATATTATATAAGTTTAATTTCTTAATTTCAGAAGGAACTATTTAAATAACTTCTCAATGTTTACTTCTCTGTGTCATGTGACACTTGTTTGCTCTGGTTGCCCATTTTAGATTTTCTTTCTCTTCCTATAGGATCTTCTAGTTTGGCACAAATTACATACTTATAGATAGACATTGGTATAGTGTAAATGTGTAGCCTCCAAATTTCATGTTTTACAAAGATATAAACAAGAAAGTCAAACCCAAATACCATGCTCGTTGTATCACATCCTGTCTTTCAAAAAAATGTCATTAATTATCACTTATATTTACTGTTGGGTTATTTATAGCCAATAGAAAGAGAAAATCATGTTTTACCAAATTATTTATTTAGAAAATAGTTTAGGTCTTAAGATAGAAGTAATTATGCAAAAAAAGTAATTGTTATTAAGAAAAGTAATTATTCATTTAATTAAAAGTTAGGAAGTGTATTAATAAAGATAACCAAAAATTCCAACTTGTATTTATAACTTGTATGGAAGATTCTGTAACTATCATATTGACTTCATAAAGGATTGGTTGTTTGTGTGATTTGTTTTATTAAAACATTTAAAAAAAGTTCAAGCTCTCCAGATGTTTAAAACCTAAATTATCTTTGCATGAATATATTATTGAGAGAATTGCTGTACATCAAGTTCTTATTTTCAGGAATTGTACAAAAGAGTACAAGGTATCCTGAATAAACTGACTCCTCAAAAGTTTCAAACTTTGGTCAGCCAAGTGAAAGAGCTTCCAATTGACAATGAAGAACGACTAGTGGGAGTCATGAACTTAGTTTTCAAGAAAGCTATTGAAGAGCCTAGCTTTAGTGTACCATATGCAAACATGTGTAAAACTCTAGCAATGGTAATAAATAATTGTTTCACAGCTATTTTGTAAATTGGTGTGGCACTAAAGTTTTTAATTATTAATATTGTATCATAGTTTGTTTTCTTTTTAACATGTATCATTGTAAAATTATGATAATAAGTATAGCAAGAACCTGGAATTTAATGTGTTAGAACTGCAATATGACGTGTTATGTTTAATAGGTATAGTGGTAATGGGAAAAATGTTTTGCATAGTCTTAATTTCGGAAGTAGGCTATTCATTCAGACACATCATCATCTTTTCTTTTTAATTATCTATCAAATTAACCCTATAATCTGGAGTTCATTGTACAGAAATTAGTGGCTTTTTTTTTGGTCATCACAATATCTGGCATATGTTAAATAGTACCAAAATTTTCTAAAGTAGGAATGACTAATGCAGATAACCCTCAAGTAGCTTTGCATGAAGTTCAACAACAACAAAATTAATGATGCAACTATTGCATAGAATTCTTGATTTGAAAATTAGTTCCCCTCATTTGTGTCACATTCTGATGAAAGTCCATTGCCTTTTGTAAAGCAATTACCTATAGAAGACCTGTTTTCAGTGCTAAGCTAGTCAATACATACTGGAAGAATGTTCAAAGTGATGTCTGTCCTAGTCTCCATTTCAAAATCAAGGTTAGAAGGTGTGTTGTTTGCATGAGATGCAAAAGTTGTTGATGCCATCATAATGGGGTTCCTGTTAAAGTTAGAGCATCAGAGAGAGAGGTAGTCCAAAAGCATTTGAATTCAATCAAAAGAGGACTAGAATACTGCAAAGCTGAAGGAATAGTAACAATTAAAACTTTGTTATTTTCATTGTAACCTCTTTAATTGTCTTAGATCATTCAGTGATTGAGAGACTTAGATATGATCGATCAGATCTCAACCAATGAAAGTCATAAGAAATAGTAGAAGAACATGTTATTGTTGTTTCTGCTAAGTTCACATAGTGCCCTAGATGTCATAAACGTGTTGACAGCCATTCTTAGAGTGCAAATCAAGATTGGAATGTCTACTTTCAGAAGAAACATTGCTTGGGGAAGACTTTTCAGCAACACTAAAGGAACATTTTGGGATTTAATTATGTTTTCAACCAAGAGTTCAAATCCTAAACATATGCAAAATTGTATGCAAGAAATTTATTTGGCACATTTTCTTTTCTTCAAAGTCACCACCAAAACATGTCAATTTCTGGACAATCGACTCACAGCTTTAGGGTTAGAAGAAATAATAATATTTTAAAAAGAAGACTGAACAAGCATAAGTCATAATGAATTAGTTTATTTAGTACTTTTTCTTTTTTTCTATATCACAACTCTTAGCTTTATTCGCTAAATTTTGTTTTCTTACTTCTAGTTCTGGTTGCAGTTATATTTTAAAGGTTGTTTTAATGGTAGCATACTGTCCTGTGAAGTTTCAAGTGAAAATTAGGGTCAACCATGATTGGGCTGACCATGTAGATAACTTTAATATCAACCACATCTCAAATGCTACTAACCTCAGTTTTCATGTCTAGTTGTTAAGGACTGGATCTGGTATGGTTCTTGTACAATATCATTCAACTTCTAAAGCTCATGTTTTGTTTATTGCTTTATTTTTATTGAATGTTTCAGTTCTATGAGACTTTTAACTAAAGATATTTTAAAGGTACAAAAAGTAGAGTGGGTGTATGATATTTCTATGTCCATATTTCTTGTTTTTATAAAGCTAATAATGTTTCATAGGAACGAGTAGTTTTTCCATAATAAAGTGTTCTTTGTAACTGATAAATATGGTGCTAAAAAAATACAGTAACTACTGTATTGGTTTAACTTATAATCTGATCATAAGATAAAATTAGTTATATCTTATCTGCTTAAGTTTTTCTTGTGAATCTCCATAGATGCAAGTACCTGCAGCTGAAGGCTCAAATCAATGCGTCAAGTTTAGTAAACTATTATTGACTAAATGTCAACGTGAATTTGAAAAAGACATTAATGATGAAATTAACAAAGATGAAAGGCTGAGACAGATACAGGAAGCAGAGACGGTAAGAGAGTTTCATCATGTACTGTGAAACTGGGTTTAGTGAATTTCATATTCAACATTTAAAATTCCAACATATTTTGTAACTTTCAACAAAAATGTCTTTAAATGTTTCCACAGACATATTTTACACACCTAATAAAGCTACATAAGGTAATAATTTTCACTATGAACTTTGGCTATGTTTTATGTGCATTTCTTATCTGTTAATGGTGTAGGTTTTACTACGAAATGTGAGTTGTTTTTAAGCATTGCTATAGATATATGTAACTATATATGTTGCCATAGAGATATGTAACTATATGTTGCTATAGAGATATGTAACTATTTTTGTTGCTGTAGAGATATGCAACTATTTTTGTTGCTATAGAGATATGTAACTATAATATATTTCATTTTGCAATCAGTCTCTTAAATTGATTTTTGTAAATATGTCAGAATCATTTATTTGAGGATATATAGACTGGACCATAGCAAACCTCCCAATAACAGTGATGTATAAACTAATTCTGGTGTATTTCATGTGACTTTTTTTTAATAAGTTCTTTTATATCACATATGCATGAATTATGATGGTGGACACTTCGAAAATTGAAATGTTAGGCTGGTTCAGTGATCGTACAAATACATCATGTGTACTTGAGTAAGGAAGCACATTATGCTAATATAATAATAGGTAGGCACACAAGAACTTATAAGCATAAGGAAAAGTTTTATTGATGATAAAACGTACTACATGTTTCAACAGAAAATTAACAAATTTTTATCGCTCAGTATATTATTGCCCGATGAAGACTCTGGTAAGAGGGCCGAAAGCTTACGATAAAAGTATTTTAATGTTGAGAAAATTCTATGTACTATTCTACATATAAATTTATCTATGTTATGAGTCTTAAACAACAGCTCTGGATGTCATTGACTGTCTTCTTTCTCTCTAGTCTATCAGATAAAAAGTAGGGAAAGCTAGTACAGAAAATTCAGTGATCAGTTTGATGTAAATTTCTGAAACAAGTCTTCTGTGAGTGGTTTGCTATAGTGCAACCTGTATTTCAGCTAATTAATGTAATTTATATCAGTTTTAATATTTGAACCATAAATAAATGAATAATATCTGAAATCTTCATCAAGATGATGATTTGTCATTGGTATCATAGGAAGAAAAAAAAATTCAACTACAGGAAGAACTTGACGAGGAAGAGACTAAAGCCAAGAGAAGATCTTTAGGAAATATAAGGTATATCTGAAGTAAAACATTATTATAATATTGTACAAGTATCTGAAACTTATAAATTGACTTGACTTTTTAAAAATTATACATAGCATGAGAAATGAATGCTAAAAGTCCTGTTTGTGTAACTAAAATGTTGTAAGTATATTTCATGGCCACTTTTATAAAGAAGGAAAGATACTTCTACTAGGTGGGAAAATTTTAGTCATCTTAATAAAAATGTAAAGTAGATAATAAATGGGCTTCATATGTTTTATAAAAATTTTACGTATACAAAAAGTAATTAAATTAAAAAAAAAATTATAGGTATATACAGATTTCATACCTGATAATGAGCTAAGTTTTGTAATGAAGCAATAATTGCAATATAATATGAAGAACTCAATTGAAAAAATATGATAAATATAAATAAAAATATAATAATCTGATTATGCCATATGGATAAAAATAGTGAAATGGAAAAAAAGAAATATAAGAAAATTGATTTAATTCTAAACAAGTTTCTCATTCATTATTGTTTAAAATAAAATACACATGTATTAGTTAAACTGAATTAGTAAAAGTGATTATAAAGTTATTTTACAGAAAGGTTTTGAACTCTGTAAACTATAAGTATTGTATAATTTCTGATTAAACAGTAACAAATGATCAACTTTGTGCAATGGTTTTTGTCTTTTTATTTTAGGCACACAATACAGAATTATTTTTATTAAAATAATTCACATGATTGAGTAGGAATTGTAAAATGCTTTTTATCAGAAAGAGCTAGAATTCACCTAGTTCGTCTTATGAATACTTTTCTGATCTAAAACCAAACAATGTGTATTAACACTTGATAGCATATTACAATTATATTTTTACTTTAAAGTGCCATTTATTTTAAAGCTGAGATCCTTTTTTCTTTCCTAATAACTCACAGCAAGTAAGGTGTCCAATCAGGTGCATCTTTTTTTTGTAGTTTTTGATGATTTTCATGACAGAAAAAAAAAGGCACTTTTGGGGTATAAGGTCAAGAAGGAAAGGGGCCTGAGCATACCCAGCCACCCCCCTGTGTCACAGCTCTGATTACAAAAAAATACTTGCAGTGTTTGGACTATCATTTCTTACTGGATTTAGTAAATTCTTAATATATTGAGCATAATTTGAACAATATATATATTAGTTTCATAAATCTTTGTTGCTGGATTTTTTAGTTTAAATCTAATTGTAACATAAGATAATGTTTTATTGTGAATTAGGTTTGTTGGGGAACTCTTTAAGCTAGGAATGTTAACGACTCTGATCATGCACACCTGCATTAAGAAACTATTAGGACAAGGAGATGAAGATTCCCTGGAGTGTTTGTGTCGTTTGTTGACAACTATTGGCAAAGAGATAGCACGAGATAAGAACAAATCCACACAAACAGCAGTAAGACAAATAATTGATACTAATTTAATTTGAGAAGGTATTAGTTTGTGTTCAAAGTTTTTTCCATTAACCGATTGTATTCCAAATAAGTATCCAACTTAGTAGGAGAATAATTAACAAAAGAAAAAATATATAGCTTAGTTTCTATTATATGTTTATATATTTATTATAAACAAATTATTTCACTAAAAAAATATAACTTAAGAATGTTGCCAATCATTTAATCCAAAGCTTATCATTACCATATTTAAATCTCCTTATATTCACTTAGTTATCTCATGATCTGCTATATTCAGACAGTAAGGTAGTAGTTATTAATTGTTCAAGTATGGAAAATAAAGAAATTAGAAGTACTAACATATTAACTTAAATGAAATTGATAAGTATAAATGACATTGTAGAACCTTCTGCATAAATGCAAAAGGAATTGGTTTATCTCACCTGATCCCTTTTTTTCAACAAATATTTGGGAGAATCTGTTTACATTTGAAAAGATAAGATAGCTAGAAATTAGAAAATATGTATTCAAGTGTTGAAGTTTGAAAAATAAAGTTATCAGTTCATATCAACAGAAAAGAACAGTACAGGAGAGTATTCTCACTTAACATTTGTTATCAAATCTTGAGAAAACTTAAAAGATCATCTAAGAAATGGAAAATGGAACTTTGTACAGCTACAAAATTGGACTCAGTAGTAATATCATTAGAAACATTTTTAGGGTGTTTTTAATATTGTGTATTTTACATTACTTTAACTCGTAACCATTTTGTGCTTGTTATAGTTTTCATGCTATAACTTTTAAATTAGTAAGCGAATGTTA